TATACACACACATTTATAATTAAAATAAATAAATACATATTATTTAATAATTATGTCATAATATATTCCTTTCCTTTTAAACTTGCATTCTTTAAACACTAAAGTTTTTTAGTCGTTTGTGTAATCAACTGTATGAGTGCGGAAATCCATAAATGGCAATATGCATAAGTAGACAGACCCACTTGTCCTTGAGGGCGGAGCTTCATTAGTGTCGCTAAAATCACAACTGAAATCTGTCTGGTTTTCCTGCGCTCTCACACACACACACACACACACACACACACTCACACGCACGCGCACACACACAATCAGGAGGAATATATATAAGCCTCTTGGGACAAGGTTATACCTTAGTTTTTATCCTGCCTGGTAAAAGGAGTTTTACTTGGTCTTCTTTGGATTAATATTTCGCCACTTCGTATTTCGGACAGTATGGAAAGTAAAAGGCAAATGAAATTCCACCTGCTTGAATTAGCCCTGGTTTTATTTTTCATGAAGGCTCGCGCCTCAGGTGAGTCACGTACCTGTGCCATAATGACTGAATGCGTGTTATTCCGTTTGTCAACCAGTTATTTGAAACCATTTCTTTCGTTCTAATAATGTTTCGTGATTCAAAAGTAACGTATTGATTCATTTGCTCTTCTATTTTATAGAAACCTTTCCAAAAGCACAGAACGTAACCTGGTCCTCTATCAATTTTAAATCCATATTAACATGGAGTCCAGAACCAACGAATTATTCCTACACTGTTGAATTTTCAGAGTAAGTCGTCATTTTTTTGTTAGTAGGTTGTTTGTTATTACCTTCATTGTCGTGAATGCTGTATCAGAGTTATGGAAAATGTGCTAGAGTGAGTAAATATTCCAATCCAGGTTCAATTGAAAAATCTGATTTATTACAACACGTCAAAAGATATTGTTTCAATAACCAGTAGTGAAATCTGTCACAGTTTCCCCTTGCAGATTTAATATAAAGGTAAAATGTACAGTATGTACAGACGAGCTTCATATGTTGCATAGGATATGTTTTACTTTATAGTGAAAGACTCCATAAAAAGTGCTGTTTGCCTTGTTGTATGACCGTTATCTAATATCACTTACTGATACAGTACTAGACCATATTGATTCTGACCAATCAAGTCATAATTCATTGATTATATCAAAAGGTTTCTCACTCTGCAATCAGAACAATCTGGCCATAAACCGGCAAAAGTGTGAAGCATAAGTGCAATAAAAGTGTATATGATTATGTGTTTTGTTTCTATTGTTTTAAACTTTTCTATTCATTTCTACTCAATTTTCTATCCATTTCTATCAGTAATTTAATTAAAAGTGCATTGACTGGATCTCTGCAGGTTATAACTTTGGAACCACTTTTTTAAAGTCGGTTAAACTTATGATTTTACTGTTTGTTGGTTTAGAAACTCTATTATTAATATTTAAACATTTAAAAAAAAAACCTTTATAAATAAAAAGTTATTTATTAAACTCTCACATGAGGCAGATTTGGCAGCTCTTGCATAGTTCCACACCCAGGACTTGTTACAGCAGGCACCAACCTGTCACTCCTTCTCGTGTAATATCATTTATTATTTCCAAATGTTTTCTTTACAATGTCTGTGTAAATGGTTGTAGACTCGGCCAGAACAGAGACCGAACGCCACACTGTATAAGGACGATGGCAACTGAATGCGACCTGACTGCAGGGTTGAAAAACCTGAAGGCCCATTACAGCGCTGACATCCTGTCTGAACCCATGCGGGGCGTCTCCTCCGATCTGGTTGAGTTCCCTCATGTCAGATCGGAGAAATTCTCCCCTTACTATGACAGTCAGTATCCTTGACAACCCACTTCACACCTTTGTCTTTTACTTTATTTAATAACGTGAAGATTTTTGAAATGTTATAAAGATCTTCTGCTTTGATTCTCTTTCAGCTGCCATTGGCAGACCAGAGTTTAAAATAGAAGTAAGCAGCGACAAAAGGAAGACGACGCTGCACGTAACGGACATCCCCACGGCTCTCTTTAATGAGGATAAAAAGAGGCTGAATATTCGGGATGTTTTCGGAGACAACCTGCAGTATAAGGTTACCTACAGGAAAGCCAAGAGCACAGGAAAGGTTAGTGTTTTCTGTAAAGTGTTCTATCTTTCTTTTTTTTAATCTTATTTAATAAGCAGTAAACATACTTTTCGGAGCTCTTTCACCACTTAGAGTCTAAAGTACTATCTTGCTTTACAGTATAAAAACAACTTTTCAAAGTAGTAAATAAAACAAAGATTACTGAAGTATGTTTTACGAGAAAATACAATTTCAGTCTTTCTATTTCAAAATTACACGTTTAATTTTAATTTTAATTTACTAGCAACTGAGTGAGTGAAAATAGTTCCAAAGTAATTCCTTTTTTGACTAAATAATAAACAAAGTCAATTTGTTGTGGGTTTTTTTTTCAGGTAGAGACTCAACGCTTTATATATATATATATATATATATATATATCTTTTTTTTTTTTTACTTAGAGGTTAATTATAGTTCTAATTAAAAACTGAAAATTTTAAAAAAATATTGATTTTACTCAACATGATACATTATGTAGGGCACAATAAATGAGACAGTTACAAAAAATATAACAAAAATGTCACAAAGTATTATACAACCATTTTTAAAAGAAATTGATACTTTTATTCAGCAAGGATGCAATAAATTGATCAAAACTGACTGTAAAGACATTTAAAATGTTACCCAAATATTTCTATTTAAATGAATTTCTATTCATCATAGAATTCTGAGAGAAAAAAATCACAGTTTCCTCAAAAAAGGCAGCACAACTATTTTCAGCATTGATAATAATAATAAATGATAAATCGGGATGTTAGAATGATTTCTGAAGGATCACGTGACCAGTGTTGGGGGTAACGCATTACAAGTAACGCGAGTTACGTTATCAGATTACTTTTTTCAAGTAACTACACTCTTAAAAATAAAGGTGCTTCACGATGCCATAGAAGAACCTTTTTGTCTAAATGGTTCCATAAAGAACCTTCAACATCTGAAGAACCTTTCTGTTTCACAAAAGGTTATTTGTGGCGAAAGAAGGTTCTTCAGATTATAAAAAGGTAAGAAAGAGATGGTTCTTTAAAGAACCTTTGACTGAATGGTTCTTTGTGGAACCAAAAATGGTTCTTCTATGGCATCGCTTGAAGAACCTTTTAAAGCAAAAGTAACGTAATACATTACTTTCCATAAAAAGTAACTAAGTAACGTAATTAGTTACTTTTTTATGGAGTAACGCAATATTGTAATGCATTACTTTTAAAAGTAACTTTGCACGTGACGCTGAAGACAAACGAAGAGCAATGGCTGCTAAAAATTCAGTTTTGCATCGCAGGAATAAATTACATTTTAAAATATATTAAAATAGAAAACAGCTCTTTTAAATTGTAATAATATTTCACATTACTGTTTCTACTGTATTTTTGATCAAATAAATGCAGCCTCGGTGAGAATAAGAGACATTAAAACATTTAAAAAATCGTAATTATTCCAAACTTTTGCCTGGCAGTATATATACAGTAGGGCTGCACAATTAATCAAATTTCTATTTTTGGATGCCACAATTACATAAACGTTCAAAGCGGCAATTAATCGTTCAAAGTCCACTTATGTTATTCTGTGTGCTGAAGATGTGTGTTGTTATCTTAAGGGTTTTTCCATTATTTTAATTTTAGTTTTAGTATAACATTAAATCTGTCACAGTTTCCCCTTGCAGATTTAATATAAAGGTAAAATGTACAGTATGTACAGACGAGCTTCATATGTTGCATAGGATATGTTTTACTTTATAGTGAAAGACTCCATAAAAAGTGCTGTTTGCCTTGTTGTATGACCGTTATCTAATATCACTTACTGATACAGTACTAGACCATATTGATTCTGACCAATCAAGTCATAATTCATTGATTATATCAAAAGGTTTCTCACTCTGCAATCAGAACAATCTGGCCATAAACCGGCAAAAGTGTGAAGCATAAGTGCAATAAAAGTGTATATGATTATGTGTTTTGTTTCTATTGTTTTAAACTTTTCTATTCATTTCTACTCAATTTTCTATCCATTTCTATCAGTAATTTAATTAAAAGTGCATTGACTGGATCTCTGCAGGTTATAACTTTGGAACCACTTTTTTAAAGTCGGTTAAACTTATGATTTTACTGTTTGTTGGTTTAGAAACTCTATTATTAATATTTAAACATTTAAAAAAAAAACCTTTATAAATAAAAAGTTATTTATTAAACTCTCACATGAGGCAGATTTGGCAGCTCTTGCATAGTTCCACACCCAGGACTTGTTACAGCAGGCACCAACCTGTCACTCCTTCTCGTGTAATATCATTTATTATTTCCAAATGTTTTCTTTACAATGTCTGTGTAAATGGTTGTAGACTCGGCCAGAACAGAGACCGAACGCCACACTGTATAAGGACGATGGCAACTGAATGCGACCTGACTGCAGGGTTGAAAAACCTGAAGGCCCATTACAGCGCTGACATCCTGTCTGAACCCATGCGGGGCGTCTCCTCCGATCTGGTTGAGTTCCCTCATGTCAGATCGGAGAAATTCTCCCCTTACTATGACAGTCAGTATCCTTGACAACCCACTTCACACCTTTGTCTTTTACTTTATTTAATAACGTGAAGATTTTTGAAATGTTATAAAGATCTTCTGCTTTGATTCTCTTTCAGCTGCCATTGGCAGACCAGAGTTTAAAATAGAAGTAAGCAGCGACAAAAGGAAGACGACGCTGCACGTAACGGACATCCCCACGGCTCTCTTTAATGAGGATAAAAAGAGGCTGAATATTCGGGATGTTTTCGGAGACAACCTGCAGTATAAGGTTACCTACAGGAAAGCCAAGAGCACAGGAAAGGTTAGTGTTTTCTGTAAAGTGTTCTATCTTTCTTTTTTTTAATCTTATTTAATAAGCAGTAAACATACTTTTCGGAGCTCTTTCACCACTTAGAGTCTAAAGTACTATCTTGCTTTACAGTATAAAAACAACTTTTCAAAGTAGTAAATAAAACAAAGATTACTGAAGTATGTTTTACGAGAAAATACAATTTCAGTCTTTCTATTTCAAAATTACACGTTTAATTTTAATTTTAATTTACTAGCAACTGAGTGAGTGAAAATAGTTCCAAAGTAATTCCTTTTTTGACTAAATAATAAACAAAGTCAATTTGTTGTGGGTTTTTTTTTCAGGTAGAGACTCAACGCTTTATATATATATATATATATATATATATATCTTTTTTTTTTTTTACTTAGAGGTTAATTATAGTTCTAATTAAAAACTGAAAATTTTAAAAAAATATTGATTTTACTCAACATGATACATTATGTAGGGCACAATAAATGAGACAGTTACAAAAAATATAACAAAAATGTCACAAAGTATTATACAACCATTTTTAAAAGAAATTGATACTTTTATTCAGCAAGGATGCAATAAATTGATCAAAACTGACTGTAAAGACATTTAAAATGTTACCCAAATATTTCTATTTAAATGAATTTCTATTCATCATAGAATTCTGAGAGAAAAAAATCACAGTTTCCTCAAAAAAGGCAGCACAACTATTTTCAGCATTGATAATAATAATAAATGATAAATCGGGATGTTAGAATGATTTCTGAAGGATCACGTGACCAGTGTTGGGGGTAACGCATTACAAGTAACGCGAGTTACGTTATCAGATTACTTTTTTCAAGTAACTACACTCTTAAAAATAAAGGTGCTTCACGATGCCATAGAAGAACCTTTTTGTCTAAATGGTTCCATAAAGAACCTTCAACATCTGAAGAATCTTTCTGTTTCACAAAAGGTTATTTGTGGCGAAAGAAGGTTCTTCAGATTATAAAAAGGTAAGAAAGAGATGGTTCTTTAAAGAACCTTTGACTGAATGGTTCTTTGTGGAACCAAAAATGGTTCTTCTATGGCATCGCTTGAAGAACCTTTTAAAGCAAAAGTAACGTAACACATTACTTTCCATAAAAAGTAACTAAGTAACGTAATTAGTTACTTTTTTATGGAGTAACGCAATATTGTAATGCATTACTTTTAAAAGTAACTTTGCACGTGACGCTGAAGACAAACGAAGAGCAATGGCTGCTAAAAATTCAGTTTTGCATCGCAGGAATAAATTACATTTTAAAATATATTAAAATAGAAAACAGCTCTTTTAAATTGTAATAATATTTCACATTACTGTTTCTACTGTATTTTTGATCAAATAAATGCAGCCTCGGTGAGAATAAGAGACATTAAAACATTTAAAAAATCGTAATTATTCCAAACTTTTGCCTGGCAGTATATATACAGTAGGGCTGCACAATTAATCAAATTTCTATTTTTGGATGCCACAATTACATAAACGTTCAAAGCGGCAATTAATCGTACAAAGTCCACTTATGTTATTCTGTGTGCTGAAGATGTGTGTTGTTATCTTAAGGGTTTTTCCATTATTTTAATTTTAGTTTTAGTATAACATTATAATACCATTCATATTTTAAATTTTTTATAATTTAAAGAAGAAACCAATCCGATGTAAAGTTGACATTTGAGGCTTAATACTATAGAAAAGCACTAGACGTTTTTCGGTTAGAGTGTTTTCAGCTTGTTTATTTTCATTTAAAAATACGGCATGCAGTTGCATCAAACAATGGTATAAACATCATTCAATATAAATTGTGATAATCGTAATTAATAATCGCAATTTCAAGGGAATAATCGACAATTATGATTTTTGTCTTAATCGTGCAGCCCTTATATACAGTATTTAGATTATACATATTTTATGTGTTTGCCTCTTCAGAAAGAGAAGATCAGTAAAAGCAGCATCATTGAGCTGACGGATTTGGACCGAGGCGAGAGTTACTGTTTTTATGTTCAGGCTTTCCTACCCTTCCGTGCTCTAGACAAACAACACGGGGAGATCAGCAACATCCAGTGCTCTCCAGAAGAAAGCCCATCTATCTTTGAAGGTAATGCTTTACGTTTTTACATTAAATCTTGGCCTGTCAGGGATTTTCAGCACAACAATCTCAGGAAAAGCAAATGTTGGGAATTTTGTCTGATAGGGAGTGAATCATTTTCCCAAAATAAACTCTCTCCCCTGATCTGGACTCTAGCTGTAACGCATCCCTTTATGAAGTGTCGGATAGCTGATATAGTGTCATAACAGAGATTTATATGGACTCTATGAATGTGTGATTCACAGAGACATTTATAGGGGTCATATGATGTTGCTAAAAAGAACATTATTTTGTGTATTTGTGTATTTGGTGTAATGAAATGTGTTTATGCGGTTTAAGGTTAAAAACACATTATTTTTCACATACTGTACATTATTGTTTTTCCTCTATGGCCCACCTTTCTGAAACGCGTAGATTTTTACAAAGTCTGAAAATCTGAAAAGCGAGGTGTGCTCTGATTGGCCAGCTATCCAGTGCGTTGTGATTGGCCGAATACCTCAAGCGAAATGGTACGCCCCTTTCCATACTGTCAGGCTGTGTCCCAGAGCGACGAGACAAAAACATTAAAACCCATTATAAATGTGGCATTTGTTGCATCCAGTGGGGACATAATTATGGATTATAATGACTTATACTGTCTTTTTATGTGTTGCGTTGCATCGCGCCGCGTAAACATAAAACTATGTCTGCATTTGTGATCGGAGAAATGACAAACAACAAGCCCTACTCTACACTGCCCAAAACTCATGTTTGAATCATCAGTGGCAAATCCTTTAAATTTGAAAACTTACAGTCTGTGAGTCAGAACAGCCGGCATTGTAGTCTACTCTACCAGGATCAGGAAACAGTCCTCCATAAAATGCGCTGCACACCTGTGAAAATCTTCCCACACAGTGATGTAGACATGTGGGGGCGTGTTTAAACGAGGCGTTTTAGGAGGCGTGGACCAGTCTTAACTTTTATAAAGAATATCTCTTTGGGTTTGAGAGTTAGGTCTTTGCAACTTCAGGGATCTTATCTATTCACGAACAGCTTGTAACACTCCAAAGAGAAAGGAAAACTTGAAATCGCATCATATGACCCCTTTAATGCATCCGATAGCACTCATAATTGATAAGAAATGTGTCCGTTGGGCGAATTGTAAATTAAGCATCTCAGTGTATAGGGACTAACAGAACTGCAAAATTACTGCGGTGTCCATCAAACTCATTGAATCAAGTGTTATGTGACCTTAATGACGATGATGTAATGTTTTTGCAGAGTACGGTGTGGGTGTCATAGTCGGAGCCATTGTTATTATCATTTTGGCAATAACAGCAATCATTATTGTCATCGTGATGTGCTGCAGACGAAGAAAGAGAGCGGAAAACACAGGAAAAGAAGGATTACCATTGAATGTTGCGTGAAGAGTGTGGATGCTGTGTTTGGTAGATCTAAATTAGACTCTCCCTTAGGGAGGATGGCATCCTGTTCCACTATAAAACAGTGGGAAAATTGTGTTTCTGTGAAACCTCAAAATGTAGATTAGACATATAATTTAGCAAGACAAGACCTTTATACTGTCAGGTGGTGGGTTCTTTAGTCTGGCACTGAAGTGTACTGTATTAACATTTTTAGAAGCAATACCTAATTTCATCTACTTGCTAACAAATGGAAATACTGTATGATTTATGATGGGGTTTTTTGTACGCACTTGGGAGAATCAAAATCAGTAATACTAATTTATTTTTTTTAGCTATTAATGTGGTAAGCTGTATTTGTTTTTAAAGTATATTTGTGTTTTAACAGCAAAATGCACTGCTAAGTTTTAACGCATTGCAACTGTACATGGCTAACCAGCGATCATAAAATAATGTCAAATCTGGTTTATTGTTGCCATTTTGATATCACTGTTCTACAAACCTGTGAATCCAGTAGGAATGGTACTGATGTGGATTTTATTTTTTAATAAAACAATTAAATATACAAAAATGCACATGTGGACTAATCAGAATGCAGACCTTTGTCATTATATTTTCTATCTTCAGAGGAGAGATTGTGCCTTATGAGAAAACTTAGTAATGAAAATCAAACTCATATTTAAACTCAAACTCATATAGATGTTGAACAATAAGGTAAATATACAATAGCTCAATGGCGCCCCCAATTGTAATTAGTAAAATTCCATTTAATGTGACTCTCCTTAAAAAAATGTGTCTCCTTTTAAGTGTAAATTGTTTCGCTTTTAATTTAAAGAAATGTAAATGTGTAGATAGATAGATAGATAGATAGATAGATAGATAGATAGATAGATAGATAGATAGATAGATAGATAGATAGATAGATAGATAGATTTTTTGTCTATACAAAGTCCAAGACCCGTGCACATATATGAAAGACTGTATTTTTTTCCAATCTCAGCAATACATTTTTTTTATTTTGTACATAGCAAATGTAAAATTAAAATATAGTTAAAACTAAATTAAAATATGCATTCAAATATACAATAAAAATTTGTTGGTGCAGTTAGAAAGAACTTTTGGCAAATTGATCGTTGTGTTCATTGACAGCAAATTAAATAAACTAGGGAAAATGTAATAATGACGTCAAAGTTGGACTTTACGTTTAGGGACGGATGTCTGGTACACACACTTCCCGTCTTCCTGGATGTAATTTATCAACATCTCACTTGTATTGACTTCAAAGTACACAAATGCTCCTGTCGTCTGATTGATTGCATTGGAGAACAGTTGCCAAGACGACGGGAAGCTGTTTTTGTGGTCAGTGTAAATTTCCGCATTAACTCCAGTTCCGCTGACAACATATGAACTTCCATCATCTTCTCTGATAAACTGATGAAATAGAAATATTTATAGTTCCATTGCATGATGCTGATGATGCTTTAGCACCCATAATAGTCACTATTAATGCTTTAATAAATTTGCTTAAAGGAATAGATCACCAAAAATTTTAAACTCACCATCAGGCCATCTATGATGTAGATGAGTTTGTTTCTTCATCCCAACAGGTTTGGAGAAATGTAACATTACACCACTTGCTCATCAATGGATGAATGGGTGCCGTCAGAATGAGAGTCCAAACAGATGATAGAAACATCACACTCCAAATGGGTTTTAACTTTAAACCGTTGCTTTTGGACAAAATACCAGTTCATAATCCATAATAACGCTTCCTCTAAAAATTCCATCCCCTGTTTTCCTCTCACATCAAAATCCAATTGCATATTTGTTTGGAGCAGTTTATAACTGTTTATAACTGTACATATTTCTCTCCTGATTCAGACAAGACAACTTTTTCACTGGAGAAAAGCATGTTATGGATATAGAACTTGTATTTTAGTTGGAAGCAACAGTTTGAAGTTAAATATGTCTTAATGATGGATTTGTTTATTACAAACACAGCTTTTTGCTTTACAAGATGATGGATGGACTGGAGTTGTGCAGATTATTGTGATGTTTTTATCAGCTGTTTGGACTCTCATTCTGACGGCACCCATTCACTGCAGAGGATCCATTGGCGAACAAGTGATATAATGTTAAAATTCGCCAAATCTGTTCTGATAAACAAACAAACAAACTCATTTACCTCTTGGATGGCCTGAGGGTGAGTACATTTTCAGAATATTTAGCATTTTGGGTAAACCTTTAAAAGAATGTTGTATTGAAATGTTATAGTACTGCTTGATTTTCTGTTACATGATAATGTGATGTTCAAGATACCGACCTGTAGACTGTGGTCATGACCACACAGATATAAGGAGACGCTGTACTTCTTCAGAAGAGGTCTGAGTTTTGATACCAAACACTTGGTTGGACCATGATGTCCAATGGACCAGACTGGATAATGACCGGCCACAACGACAAAATCTGACCTGAGGAACAATCAAAAGATGCATTTATTATAAAAGCCCTCAAAATGCAAATTCTGCCATTATCTTATAAGTTACCATTTAAATTGCTGTGTGAAGTCTTTTTTTTAACATTGTCTGGCATGTTGAATCAATCATTTATTGACAGCTTATTGTAAAGTGTTTTATGTTTCGTATCATATTTGATACATCAGGCTTTATGACTCATACAGAATATAGGAGAATATAGAGCTCATACTCAAGAAAATACACTTGAAATTTATTAAGAGACCCAAACTGAGCAAAAATATGCAATTTAGTGCAGATGCTGATATTTATAAGGCCAGAAAATAAAATGAAATTCTGAGAGCTTGTAATGTAAATTAGTGAGATTTTTATAATAGTATGACTACCTACATAAATACACATAAATATCAGTTCTCACACAATATATTTCAATAAAATGTCTTAATAAGATGATATTTAAATGCTTTTTAGATCAAATATTCATGAAAAGCCTGATGTATCATATTTGGTACCCACATTTTAGCATGATTTTTCTAAAAAGTGATGTATGGATAATCAAGTAAACCTACTGTAAGTTGCTTCAGCCCAGTAAGTGTTCATCTTGACATATTAATGGCAATATAAGTTATTCTTACATTTACTTTATAAAACTTCACATCAAAAAGAAACATATCACAACCTGAAAGTGGACACTTTTACAATTATTCTAAAAGGCTAAACTTGCTAAAAAAAAAGAAGCATAAACTATCAATCAGATGACATAAGGCATGTCATACAGTTTTGATCATGTTAAAAAATTTAGAGACCTTATAAATTCATGTATCGATATATTTTAAACATTTCTTCTTTGTGTTGTTCAGAAAACAAAGCAGCATTTACAATTGCATAAGGGTGAGTAAACAATGACAGATTTCATTTTTGGGTGAACTGTCCATTTAAGAGCTGGTCGTATTTTTAGTATCGAATGCCAGGAGTGTTTTCCAGGTCACATCTGGGATTTAGGAGGATGTGATTGTGGATCTGAGGTGGTGGAGAAGTGAGAGAGAATAAGTGAAAGAATGTGACAGTGGAGGGGTGGAAGGAGTGTGGCAGGTCAGGGCCTTTAAAAACATGCCCTAAAATTCCTGTTACAGGACTAATGTTTGCCCAGTAAAAGCAAAACACATCTTGCGATTATATAGATAGATAGATAGATAGATAGATAGATAGATAGATAGATAGATAGATAGATAGATAGATAGATAGATAGATAGATAGATAGATTTTTTGTCTATACAAAGTCCAAGACCCGTGCACATATATGAAAGACTGTATTTTTTTCCAATCTCAGCAATAAATTTTTTTTATTTTGTACATAGCAAATGTAAAATTAAAATATAGTTAAAACTAAATTAAAATATGCATTCAAATATACAATAAAAATTTGTTGGTGCAGTTAGAAAGAACTTTTGGCAAATTGATCGTTGTGTTCATTGACAGCAAATTAAATAAACTAGGGAAAATGTAATAATGACGTCAAAGTTGGACTTTACGTTTAGGGACGGATGTCTGGTACACACACTTCCCGTCTTCCTGGATGTAATTTATCAACATCTCACTTGTATTGACTTCAAAGTACACAAATGCTCCTGTCGTCTGATTGATTGCATTGGAGAACAGTTGCCAAGACGACGGGAAGCTGTTTTTGTGGTCAGTGTAAATTTCCGCATTAACTCCAGTTCCGCTGACAACATATGAACTTCCATCATCTTCTCTGATAAACTGATGAAATAGAAATATTTATAGTTCCATTGCATGATGCTGATGATGCTTTAGCACCCATAATAGTCACTATTAATGCTTTAATAAATTTGCTTAAAGGAATAGATCACCAAAAATTTTAAACTCACCATCAGGCCATCTATGATGTAGATGAGTTTGTTTCTTCATCCCAACAGGTTTGGAGAAATTTAACATTACACCACTTGCTCATCAATGGATGAATGGGTGCCGTCAGAATGAGAGTCCAAACAGATGATAGAAACATCACACTCCAAATGGGTTTTAACTTTAAACCGTTGCTTTTGGACAAAATACCAGTTCATAATCCATAATAACGCTTCCTCTAAAAATTCCATCCCCTGTTTTCCTCTCACATCAAAATCCAATTGCATATTTGTTTGGAGCAGTTTATAACTGTTTATAACTGTACATATTTCTCTCCTGATTCAGACAAGACAACTTTTTCACTGGAGAAAAGCATGTTATGGATATAGAACTTGTATTTTAGTTGGAAGCAACAGTTTGAAGTTAAATATGTCTTAATGATGGATTTGTTTATTACAAACACAGCTTTTTGCTTTACAAGATGATGGATGGACTGGAGTTGTGCAGATTATTGTGATGTTTTTATCAGCTGTTTGGACTCTCATTCTGACGGCACCCATTCACTGCAGAGGATCCATTGGCGAACAAGTGATATAATGTTAAAATTCGCCAAATCTGTTCTGATAAACAAACAAACAAACTCATTTACCTCTTGGATGGCCTGAGGGTGAGTACATTTTCAGAATATTTAGCATTTTGGGTAAACCTTTAAAAGAATGTTGTATTGAAATGTTATAGTACTGCTTGATTTTCTGTTACATGATAATGTGATGTTCAAGATACCGACCTGTAGACTGTGGTCATGACCACACAGATATAAGGAGACGCTGTACTTCTTCAGAAGAGGTCTGAGTTTTGATACCAAACACTTGGTTGGACCATGATGTCCAATGGACCAGACTGGATAATGACCGGCCACAACGACAAAATCTGACCTGAGGAACAATCAAAAGATGCATTTATTATAAAAGCCCTCAAAATGCAAATTCTGCCATTATCTTATAAGTTACCATTTAAATTGCTGTGTGAAGTCTTTTTTTTAACATTGTCTGGCATGTTGAATCAATCATTTATTGACAGCTTATTGTAAAGTGTTTTATGTTTCGTATCATATTTGATACATCAGGCTTTATGACTCATACAGAATATAGGAGAATATAGAGCTCATACTCAAGAAAATACACTTGAAATTTATTAAGAGACCCAAACTGAGCAAAAATATGCAATTTAGTGCAGATGCTGATATTTATAAGGCCAGAAAATAAAATGAAATTCTGAGAGCTTGTAATGTAAATTAGTGAGATTTTTATAATAGTATGACTACCTACATAAATACACATAAATATCAGTTCTCACACAATATATTTCAATAAAATGTCTTAATAAGATGATATTTAAATGCTTTTTAGATCAAATATTCATGAAAAGCCTGATGTATCATATTTGGTACCCACATTTTAGCATGATTTTTCTAAAAAGTGATGTATGGATAATCAAGTAAACCTACTGTAAGTTGCTTCAGCCCAGTAAGTGTTCATCTTGACATATTAATGGCAATATAAGTTATTCTTACATTTACTTTATAAAACTTCACATCAAAAAGAAACATACCACAACCT